ACAATAATAAAAAATATGAAACAAATCATATTTGATTGTGTCTAAAATTTATCTTCATTCTGTACTAAGTTACCCTTAATATTTTACCTTTTATAGTGGACTGTTAATTTCTCATTCAAACTGCACCAGAACCATTATTTCTTGTTAAGTTATTCTATTTAGAAGTCTGCTGTTGCAGAAACAGAACAGTGCACACAGGAGGATATGATGACAATGATAATGATGAAAATAATCGTTAGCATTTTAGTGTTGAATTTGATTTATATCATTTTGAATTTTTACTTTTTTAAGAACGCAAACAAGTCAGAAGGGCTAAGGAATCATCGATTGCTTTCTCTCTTATACCTTTTAACCATTTTAGTTCAAGGAAATTTGAAACACAGTGTATCATGGGATATCTGTTTGACCACAAGGCATCCTGGGTAATCTGTTCAATCACAAGGTATTGTGGGATATCAGTTGTTTTTTTGTGGTTTTAATTTTAAAAATGATAGAAAACCTACGACTGCAACTCGCAGTAGGAAATTTTAGAAGGGAGTAGAAAGTAAGAAATAATGGATCTGGCAGAAAAACAGCTCAAACGAATTACTGAACCAATATGTAGCCGAAAGTTTTAATGGCCTTGTTCCCGTTGTCCGCACTGCATCTTGCTTTGTTTCCTGTAAATATCAAGTTATCAGACTTTTTCCCACAGTTCCATCCCGTACCTCCAAAGCCAAGGCGGGAGTCAGGCAACTTGCATCCTTTGCCCTCATTTGATATAATACCGATTCTCACCCTGTCGATGTTTCGTGAAGTTACTGTCGATTTGGAATTGAATCCCTCTCGGTTGCAGTATTTCTGCAAAGACGAGCCAGGAATCAACGACTTCCACTTGTTACGGCCGATGGACACCCTGCGATAGCGGTTGTCTGCGATTACAGAGTACAGCGATCTTGCCCTACACAAACATGCGCAAAACATTTTGTTAGAATCAATCAATCTCGTTCCAGAGCCCGCGTTCCTCTTGGCCTGAGGGCGCGAGCAACCACGAACTCTGGCCTAATCCATATATTGCGCGCTTTTCATTGGTCGATAGAATTTCCTCATTACGAATGCGGACGTCTCCGAAAGAAAAATTTGAACAATCATAGTTGCGAAAAACAGCGCCAAAATTCGGGCGCGAGCGCGACGAGGAGTCCTAGCCCCACTGAAGATGTTGCAAAATTGTAAACAAAAATTAATTGTAAAGTGTAGCAACAGAGTGTAGCAATGTCTTCTCCGAAGAAAGCGGCGACGCAGCAAGTTTATAATACTTGTAGACCTTGCAATAAACTTTTAGATCGCTACAAAGTATAGATTTGTTTGGAAACAAGTCGAAGAGAGAGGGCCTTTTAACGTCTTTGCAAGATATATGCTCAGTAGATAACATACATGAAGACGACGGTTTCTCTGGATTTATGTAGACTGTGCGCCACAAATCTCGTTAGTATTGAGCGAAAAAATTCAAAATTTCAAATGTATTTACCGGCAAACACAATAACACTTTCTAAAATTTCAAATTGTTTGGTTTTCAAAGCTAAATTTGGCATTCCTATAGCCGCTAGACCGCATGCACAATTTAACCGGAACACCAGAAAATCTGATGAAAAATATGGATTAGGCCAGAGTTCGTGGTTTCTCGCGCCCTCAGGCCAAGAGGAACGCGGGCTCTGGAACGAGATTGAGAATCAATTTCAAGGCCGACGTGCATCCGAGAAGCATTGCGATCGTGTTTGCTTTACAATTCAAGAATCAAATGATCTCCTGTGGAATGTTTCTTTTGATTGGTCAAATAGCTTTATTAATCTATATTTGTAGATATTATTTCATTAATTATGATTTGCTTAAGGTATGTAGCTGATACGTACGATGTTGAAATGATTTTCCTTAGTGTCGAAGGGGAAAAGTCAAATTTCACCCAATTTGATGGGTTAAGTGCATGTGCCTTCAAACGCGCGTGCAACTCGTACGTACATATGTATCTATGTATCTGGTTTTCATAGGCAGCCCAACTATTCAGCTTAAGAGCTTTATGTATTGTTCATGTGCCAAAAAATGAGAAAAGCGCGCACTCTTACTTGTAATTCACACGGATCCAGTTTGGTCTTCTCTGAAAAACTGTCATCATCCCCAAACAAAGACTAGTGAAGGGTGTGGCCCAGTAGGTTGGCAGCTTAGTTTCTTGATGGTCTGCGCCGGACTGGCCCCCATTCACGTGATATGCCTTCTTGTTGGTCCAGTATGACGAATCGTAGCCAAATGTAGACTGGAATAAGAGTAAAATGTAAAGTATTGATATTGATATACACCTAATTACAAATCGTTGAAGTGAAGTTATTGCATTCCGCGAAATTGTTGGACGTTCTCTCGCAGTTCAAAAGGAGTTTTCGTGGTTTCAGAGTAACTATACTTCTTTAGAAAACAATGAAATTTAAAATTGCAATTTTGAAATAGCTCTAATAATTTGAGAATAGGTAATTCACAATGTTAATAAGCAATATGTAGTGCAACATTTTGTACAACAAAGCATGATGCGATTTCTTTTGGATGATTTAACGGACATAAAAATGCTTTGCTCGATAAAATGGTTGAGGTGCATATTGCCCATAGTTTTTACCAACTAACAGGATAACCTTTTTCGCTTACCATGTGTCCGTTGGTCTTCATAACGGTCGTCCATCCTCC